TATAGTCCGGCTGAGGTCAGGTGAAGAATGCTGCATCTGATGATGTACCGAGTTGGGTTGTAGAGTCTAAAAACTTGGGTAGCTTGGAAAGGAGACTGGACAAGTTTGTGAGCAGACCTTCTACAGTGTTCTTATGTGGGATAGCGATGAAGAAGTTTTCTTGGCAAGTGGTTCAGCTATGTTATAGAAGCCACTATTCTGGTTGAAGTTGTCGGATATAGAAATAAGTGATGATTCCAGGATTCTTCGGTATTGGGTGTTGTCTTCTGTGGCGATAAGTCTTGAGTTTCTGTAGTTTATCAAGTGGTTGTGTGAATTACGGTGTTGTACGCAGGCATTCCTTGTGTCGTCAGACCTGCTTGCGTATTGGTGTTCTGAAATACGTGTTTGGAGGTCCCTTGATGTTTCGCCCACGTATAACTTGTTGCAGTCATTACAAGGGATTATGTATACCCTGCAGAGGATGGAGGCTTGTCCTGCCTACTACTGGTGATGTCCTTGATGGTCGTGGTTGTGGAGGTAAGTTACTTGGAATGATGTTTTGGCAAAGATGTTGGAAACATGTTTGGCAATGGAGTTGGTGGGAAGGACTATGTATCTCTTCTCGGCAGTGTCGTCTCTGGGTGTGTTGAAGATGTTTAGTGCTCGCCGTCTGCAGTCTCTGATGAAGTGACGAGGATAGTGGAGTTTGGAAAATACCTGTTCAATTATAGTGCATTCTTCCTCAAGGAACTCGTTGCTGCAGATTCTGAGTGCACGCAGGAAGAAGCCTATAATTACACCACGTTTGGTTTTGGTGTCGTGGTGAGAGTAGAAGTGGAGAAGATCGTTTTGGTTGGTGGGTTTTCGATAGACTTTAAAACGAAGTTCGTGGTCAGCTTTGCAGAGTAGAACATCAAGGAAAGGAAGAGTGTTGTCGACCTCTTCTTCAAGTGTGAACTGGATTGAAGGCTCGACCTGGTTGAGCTTGTCTTGGAGAGCTTGAACGTTGAAGCGTTTAGGAGTTATGAGGAGAATGTCGTCAACATAACGGAGCCAGGTGACAGACGAAGGAATAATGGTGGAGAAACGTTCGGCTTCTAGATGTTCCATGTATAGGTTCGCTAGGACTGCACTGAGTGGCGACCCAGATACCTACAAACCTCTCACAACTAACCAAGTGGACAACCTTACTAAAACTTTTCTTCAAAGGACTCGCCGCATTCTGAGGAGCTCAGAACAAGGGAAGAAACTTCTGCACACCATGCCCAGCAACCCCAGACCTGCCAGAATGTACGGCCTGCCAAAGACTCACAAGCCTGGTATCCCACTGAGGCCCATATCCTCGGGAATAGGCAGTGCTCCCCACAAGCTCTCAGGAATTCTCGCCAAACACCTCTCGAAACTCTTGGGCACTATCAGTCCAGCACATCTCAAACACTCAGGAGATCTTCTCAATCGCATTCGCAACATCAACATCAGGAACAAGAAACTTTCCAGCCTTGACGTGACTTCCCTATTCCACTAAAGTACCTACTAAACAAGCCATCGATCTCTTGCGCAAGAAAATTGACGATTCACTTGATCTTCCCATTCCAGCCAGCGACTTCATCGACCTGGTTGAACTATGTGTTGGCTTTACGTGTTTCTCTTTTGAAAATCACCTCTTTCAGCAGACTTTTGGACTACCCATGGGTTCGCCACTCAGTGCAGTCTAGCGAACCTATACATGGAACATCTAGAAGCCGAACGTTTCTCCACCATTATTCCTTCGTCTGTCACCTGGCTCCGTTATTGTTGACGACATTCTCCTCATAACTCCTAAACGCTTCAACGTTCAAGCTCTCCAAGACAAGCTCAACCAGGTCGAGCCTTCAATCCAGTTCACACTTGAAGAAGAGGTCGACAACACTCTTCCTTTCCTTGATGTTCTACTCTGCAAAGCTGACCACGAACTTCGTTTTAAAGTCTATCGAAAACCACCAACCAAAACGATCTTCTCCACTTCTACTCTCACCACGACACCAAAACCAAACGTGGTGTAATTATAGGCTTCTTCCTGCGTGCACTCAGAATCTGCAGCAACGAGTTCCTTGAGGAAGAATGCACTATAATTGAACAGGTATTTTTCCAAACTCCACTTCCTCGTCACTTCATCAGAGACTGCAGACGGCGAGCACTAAACATCTTCAACACACCCAGAGAAGACACTGCCGAGAAGAGATACATAGTCCTTCCCACCAACTCCATTGCCAAACATGTTTCCAACATCTTTGCCAAAACATCATTCCAAGTATCTACTCCACAACCACGACCATCAAGGACATCACCAGTAGTAGGCAGGACAAGCCTCCCATCCTCTGCAGGGGTATACATAATCCCTTGTAATGACTGCAACAAGTTATACGTGGGCGAAACATCAAGGGACCTCCAAACACGTATTTCAGAACACCAATACGCAAGCAGGTCTGACGACACAAGGAATGCCTGCGTACAACACCGTAATTCACACAACCACTTGATAAACTACAGAAACTCAAGACTTATCGCCACAGAAGACAACACCCAATACCGAAGAATCCTGGAATCATCACTTATTTCTATATCCGACAACTTCAACCAGAATAGTGGCTTCTATAACATAGCTGAACCACTTGCCAAGAAACTTCTTCATCGCTATCCCACATAAGAACACTGTAGAAGGTCTGCTCACAAACTTGTCCAGTCTCCTTTCCAAGCTACCCAAGTTTTTAGACTCTACAACCCAACTCGGTACATCATCAGATGCAGCATTCTTCACCTGACCTCAGCCGGACTATAAATACTCGCGTTCCTTCCACCCCAGGTAGTTCTGTTTGTGACTTGAAAAAGCCCACTGTGTGGGCGAAACGTAGTCAATAAAGGATCACATTATACTGCATTTGTGTTTATATTGCCAAAGAAACACACAACCTGGCAACACCTGACAACTGCTGACATCACCTGACAGCCTCACAACACCCAACGTAAAAACGACAGCCACAGGGAAACATTGGCGTGCCGTTGATCAGAATAGTTACAGCGCCGTTGTCACGATTTCAACAGATATCCTGTGTCTGTCTCTAATTGGCTGCACACCTGGCCCAGATTTGAAGTCGCAGGATCGAGCCTCCAACCACCGCTTATAATGAATGACCCACATGGATTTATCGCTGTGATTACGACAACAAGACAGTAACTGTGTCGATTGATTACAATCACAAGAGAGGAACTGAGTTATCTTGTATAGTGAGAAGAAGAGTGAAGGTTGCACAGGAAGATCAGGTGCATTTTTACACGTGAAAACACGCAGGGGTGGTGTAGACACTGAGGGGTGGTGTAGACACTGAGGGGTGTTTTACAGTATAACATTTTTTAATCCATTTCCAAACACGTAAGATATTACGTCATTATATAATTTACTTCAGGTTACCCGTTAAAAAAATCCTCTAAATTAAAAAAAAATTCACCTTTACTAGTCTGAAAGTTTATAATCTGTAACTATTGATGTTATTAATAAGTTTTCCTGAATAAATTACTAAATTTAAAAAGAGAAAAAATTCTTTTCAGATCTCACTGCCTCGGTGGGATACGACCTTGTATGGGCCAGTAGGCCTTCTGCAGTGTTCCTCCATTCTTATGTTCTTATCAATTTGTGTAGAGTAAACTACACAAATTCCTGCACAGTGTCACATTAGCTGCTTAGCGATGGCTGTGTTAGTTTGCAGCAGCGATAACCTGATTGATCACCACGGAAGCTTGACCTCAGGCCGGGTTGTAATAAAGCTCTAGAAACCGTGGTGGTTAAAATTCTCCCGGGAAGACGAGGGAGCGTGGCTGGTGTAACCCAGGAAGGTGAGGTGGACACGCAAGCACAGTGACCACAGGAAAGACACGCATACTAAACCGATGAAAGGACACGTACAAGGGATAAAAGACACGCATAAAGGATAGAGAAGGAATAAAACTACAAATATTAAATAAACTTGTATGAACGTTATTATGTTCGTCCTGTAATAATTATAGCCTTGGCACGTTACCAAGAGAATAATCAACGTGGGACCAGGACTTCTAAAACAACATTCCAATTTGTGTTGTGAACTTCGACGTGTGATGTTTGCCAGAGTATGAGAACTATGACACGCTCTGTAAGATTATTACGGCTGGGAGGCTGGGTAAGAGGTAACAGGAAGTGGAGACCCCGTGGAAAGTCCGCAAGCTGGATTTGAATTGTAAATGTATGTGCAGATGACTTTTCCCAATTAAGGGTGACAACGAGCGCCCTTCAGCTGGATACTTGGGCAGAGCTGCGACCGTATCTACGTTGGTGCCTCTATGTACATGTTTACGTTTTTCCTGTGTACATACTAATGTTGCCTTCCTTGCATATGTACCCATGTTGGCCTGCCTGCACACGTATTCTAGTTGGACTTTGTACATATTCCTGTCAGATTTCCTCTGTATAGGCTAGCCTTTGCTTTTGAATCTATATCTCTATCTCTCTATCTATCTATCTATCTATCTATATCTCTCTCTCTTCTCTCTCTCTCTCTCTCTCTCTCTCTCTCTCTCTCTCTCTCTCTCTCTCTCTCTCTCTCACACACACACACACATGAGGTACACTACCTACGATCACTTTCTTGTGGGTGCTCCTGCCCCTCTCTATCGATAATACTCTGATTATATTACATGTTGTAATCATATCTCCACTAGTCCTTCTTTTAAAGTCGTCAGGTCTTGTTGATTTAGTCTCTTCATAATCCTCACAGTTGTGGCACTATTCTTATTGGAAACCTCTGGCGATTGTGGTGTTTCATTAACTATAACATATGTTTTAGTTGCCCACGGCTCAAGCCCTGGAGGTTTCATTTTTAATATATAACCTGAAGGTGATATAATCAAGGGCTCATGAATAAGGAGCCCTTCACCAGTATCAAAACGCCTCAGTTATCGGTCTGTAAATGTTGTAATTGTTAACGTGAAATTTCGGCTGCAGTACTCACCTTGAAGCTTGGATCAGAAGCGTAGGCATCCAGCGCCCGGTATGTGGACATTGAGGAGACTGACGATATGTGAGAGTCGTTACTGACACCACTGTCCTCGCTGGTGTCAGATGCTAGACTCTCCGTGTCAGAGCGATCCGTGCCAGCTTCACTGTGAACAAGCAGGTTATTGTGTTGAAATAATAGATACAAGGGGTTTACATTGTGTTAGAATAATATCGGTCGTTGTGGGCAGAGATGGATGCTGATAGCACAGGAACTGTGACTGTCACTGGGTAATGTTGCTGACGAATACAACATTGCAAATATTGTTGATTTAAACAATAACTCGGAAAAAAAATGTAATGGGTCACTGGCGAAGGTCTGGTAATTTGCAGTTAGATGCGTATATTACGGTATACATAATGTGGGAACATCTTGTTATGTTAATGTTCAATGTAAATCTTCATAAACAATTATAGTTTACAACCAAAAGTTGAATATTATCTTAATTTATGTCGTGCAATAAAAAATTTGTATTTAAAAATATTTTGTGATACATTAACATCTTGGTACAAGCGGACGGTTAATAACTGTAATGAATGAGAATAAGACAGGTATCTGCAGTGTTAAATGACTTAAGAAATCGTAATGACACGATTGCAAATAAACCATACCCCCGGTTATTGTGGTAATTGCATTTATCTTCTCTAAAGTTTATATCGAATGTTGATGTTTGATAAGATAACGAAGCAACTGGTGATTAAATCAGACTCTGTATAAACAATTGTGTTTAAGGGTAAAAGACACAATACCCTGGCTGGAACAACTGACATTATTACGTTCGTGGGGAACGCAAGACCCGTAGGGGGTCATACAGCGCCTGGGGAAGAAATGGAAGGCATTCAGACTCGATTCAAAGAATTTGAGTACAGGTCCAATTCCTTAAGAGGAACAGTTGACAAATAACTTGCACGTCAGCGAGGAAACATAACAATTTATTGTTATGATTCTTACCTGGAGTGATGTGACTTGTTCTTGGCAAGATGAACATGACCTTTACGGTTGTGATTGTTTGTGTTGTGTGTGTTAAGCTTGTAGTTTGCGCCCTGTTGATTGGTGTTGGCGGCGGCGTCATTGCTGCGGCTGTGGGCGTGGAAGGTTCGTGGGTCTTCCATCAATGCCTTCTTGACGTTGAATCCGTGCACTGTGGGTTTCCTCAGTGCAACCGGCTGACTTCCCTGGGTCGCTACTTGTTCTTGTTGCACTGACCTTCCTGAAAGATTCTGCTGCTTCGAAGATTCTTTGGACACCGTTGAAGATCTGAGATTACCTTTGGACTTTTGATTGGGTATTACGTTGTTGGTGCGGTGGCTAGCCAGCCTTGGCAAGGTGAAGGAAGATCCCACTCCCAGACCTCGTGTCGTGGACCCCTCGCTGTTGTCGCTCCTGTCGAACCTCAGGATCTTGCTTGATGGGTTGGACTTAATGTCTCTGAAGCGGCCTGCATGAGAGGAAGAAGCAGATGATCAGCATTTTCGGTGTAAAACTATAAATTGTGACCGATTCACCCTAGTCATTATAGGTTTATTTGTTTTAATGACCAAGTCCAGTACCACTATACCACTAGACAAAAAACTATGCACCTAATCTTCAACCACTGCAGGACGATGATAGGTTATTCAACCACACTAGAGAACCATGATAGGTTATTGGATTTTCTAGATGGTCACAATAGATCAACAAGCTCCACTATACTGCACCACTTAAGTAAAATAGTTACTCTACCCCAGAAGTTCTGGAAGACCAATACTGCTCCTGGACTGAGTAACACCTAAATGGGTAGACATATTAAGGTACGACTACTACACTGTAATGTTCTGAGTGTTATTTAATTCTAATGACCCACCGTCATAAGTTTCATTGACAACTTCAAAGGAAACATATCTGATGTGATCGCTCTCTGTTCCACAATTTCACGTTGTTTGCTTCGTGAAACAATTTTTGTGGCTATTAATGCTGCAGTCACCTTAGTGTCAGTAGTGTTTCACAGCAAGGTTGTAACAGTCGGGAAAGGCTTCTGCAGTCATGGGCTTGCAATGACGAAGCAGTCGACGTGGAACTAAGCTGCAACCGTAATTCAAGCTGCTGCAAGCCGGGACGACCCAGCACGAGCAGCAACACAGCAGCAGCAGAACCACAACCACTGTTGCTACTACTACTACGATGGATGAATAAACAGAAGAATGGACGGAGGGTTCGATCCGCGGCCCATAAATTAACCGGCCACCTTCTCGGCTAGCCTGAGCTTTTCTACTACTATTACCACTACAGTAACCCCCACCACTGCCTCCACGACTACTACTGTTACTACTACCACTAAACCACAGAATTAAAGCTACAACTACTTACCGAGGTCACACCAGGTGTGGAAGTGATGTACGGGTGTATTAAGGTTCTCGAAGAGTTGTTTGACGCTGCGTACAGTGTGTGGTCTCGGTAACTCCTCCAGCTGCACCTCTTTGTTGCGTATGGTGTATGCTGCTCGCTTCAATTGCAGCTCCTCCTCCAGCTGCACCTCCTTGCTGTGTGTAGTGAAGGCTGGTGGCTTCAGCTGCACCTCCTGCACAGCCGCGTCCGCGTCACTCTGTAGTGTGGTACAAGCCTCGACTAAGTCTTCCTTAGATCAAACCTAATTGGGTATAGTTCAACCCCCAGTTTCCTTAGGAAATAAAGCTCTGACAACCAATCCGCATTGGACAAAAGCCCCCATGCTTAACTTAACCAAACCTAAGACGTAAGTATTTTACGAGTATACACAGGAGAGAAATTCTAACAGGATGCCAGTATCCACTGATGCTGCTGTGAGCCTCCATAATGCCACTGTTACTCTACCTTTTGAGATGTCTTTAGTTACACGGAATTTTCAGAGCTTTCAGTCATTCGTAACTCATATTTTTTTTAGAAGTGTTCTGGTGTGTGTACGTGTGTGTGTACGTACGTTGTGTGTACGTGTGTGTACGTACGTTGTGTGTACGTACGTTGTGTGTACGTGTGCGTGTCTCAAAGTAGGTATGCGTGTCTCCTGCAGAAAGTGTTGCGTACACGAATGATGTATCAACTACGTGGCCCAGATATATTCTCAGAGATCAGTGTGATGCTCACCTACACTCCCCACTGCTCATCACCACTACTCATCACCACCGCTACTTATTATCATTAATCATCATTACTACCACCACACTCCTCCACAGTCACGCGCAGTTATCTGGTGTGAAAATTCATTTATATATAAATCATAGAGTAATTCCCAGATTCATCAAAAACTTCGACAATTAGTTCAGCTCTACAAAAGTTTAGTTGTTGCTTTGCTCTCACATACACCTCACGTGTCCTCATTCTAGAGTCCGTCATCTTTCATGGCGACATCTTCAGGAAGGTTTCACTAAGAGTTCTCAGCGCAAGTCCCACCATAGTACAGTATACGGTATATTAAGTGTGAAGGTTCTGGTTGGGTCTGTGTCTGTTAGAGAACAGTTGCTTGTCTAGATTCACACGTCCTACTTATGTATTCTTACGTACGTGTGAGAGTGAGTGAGTGAGTGTCTATCAATAATGCGATATAACCTCTGTGGTTAATAGCTCCATGAAGTTAAGTGCATTAGCATATTCGTGACTGTTTCACAAATTTGCTGGCATCACACTGCTCACCAGCTGGACTATGCAAGCAAGAGTTGTTTTGATTAAAAAAAACTGTTAAATACACGTTCTCATCAGCCATACACACGTGATAAGAATTTTTAAAGGCGGTAAGTGCAAATGGACGTGGTTACCTGTGCTGCCGTCCTGGCTGGCATGATCGGCGTCTTCTCCACGATGACCACTTTGTCGTTCTCCAGTACTTCGTTGGCGTCGTACTCCTGCAGGTACTTGGACACCGTCGTCTGTTGCTCCTGTGTGGCTTCTTTTACCCGCTCTTCAAACACCTGTTTTACAGTCTTTGTGCTGAGGTCGTCGGTGTTTACCTCAGCGCTGCGGCTGGCCTCCATGTTCGTGATGGTATCATCAAGGCTTTCATCAGTGTCCGTGGCTATACACGCGTCAACAATAGTTTCAACGCTCACGTCTGGAACTGTATCAGCGTTTGTGTCAGTATCAGCGGCGGTCTCAATGTGAGTGTCACCTGCGGTATCAGTGTGAGTGTCAGCGGCAGTGTCGTAACTGACAGCTGACGATGGCTCGGACGACGCGTCGATAGTGTCGTCATCAGACTCTGTCGCTGTTTCTTGGTCGTGTATGTCATCTGACGACAGGTCGAGGTCTTTGCGATCCTCGATGCTTGATTGATCCTCAAGCATGGGATCGTCTTCGTTGGAGTGGTACTCAATCCCCGAATCTTCAGAGTCGCATTGTGACTGGCTACTCTCCAGGATCCGACGTCTGCTGATTGGTCGATTAAGAGTTACGTAGTTACTACTAGCAGTTGTCAGCTCATCATCGTCGTCCCATTCAGAACAGCAAGACTCCATATCACTGGGAAAAATAATTGGAATCAATATTAAATATAAGTTTTTGGTGTCAGTGTTGTATCTAGCAAGTGAAGGAGACTTCATTAGGTACGTGACGGTCCTGAGACCTTGGTAACTTTATTTTCAGTGACCAGGGACTCAGGACCGACACTTATCCAATTAAGATGTCCTAAGTGTGTGTGCTTTTGTCCTTGCATACATATTGTCGGTATCTCTGTGCCTTCTACTTCCGTGTGAATGGGAGCAGAGCTACACGGGGCTTTCAACAGAGCACCTGTATTAAAGGGGTGGTGCTGGTGCCCTACGCGTGTTCATATGCTAATCTTTGCGGTCCATTTGCTTCTCATTCTGCTAGCGAGTGTTTTTGTGCACACCCAGCAAACCTCTCATAAATAACAAAAAATAATAAAAAAAAAGGCACAATACCGTGACTGGATGTGTTGCGCATGTCTTAATTTCATCTTGTCGGTATTATATACAATTCTTGTACTACTACTACTACTACCACCACCACTACCTCTTCCTGCCTATATATAGCCGTCCTGCTCCACTTCTGGTTAGTGTGACTTTGTAAATGGTCCAAGTCGGACCGAAACGTCGTCGTAAGCTTCTCTCTTTTATGTGCGGGTTATTTGTGTATAAACCTCTCATCTCGTGCTGAAAATTTCCAGCCAAGACAGGACTCGCAGCAATGGTTTCAAGTTGGAAAAATTCAGATTCAGGAAAGATATAGGAAAGCACTGGTTTGGTAATAGAGTTGTGGATGAGTGAAACGAACTCCCGAGTACAGTTATTGAGGCTAAAATGTTGTGTAGTTTTAAAAAAGGTTAGATGAATACGTGAGTGGGTGAGAGTTGGACCTGACTAGCTTGTGCTGCTGGGTCTGGTGCCGTGCTCCTTGAGTGGAGGTGACCAGACTGGGTGGGTCATTGGGCTAATCCGGGGGGGGGACATGGACTTGCTCCGCATGGGTCAGTAGGCCTGTTGCAGTGTTCCGTCTTTCTTATGTTCTTATACCACCAGGAGCAGCATCCACATGAAGATTGGCACCACTTAAGATTAAAACCTCATATATTAGCTCCACTTTCATTAGCACCACTTAGATTGACATAGCTTTCGTTCAGGCAACTTTAAGGTGTCTGTATAAACTCAGTGTATTTAACACAAATAAGCATGTAAAAAGTGTGTGTGTGTGTGTGTGTGTGTGTGTGTGTGTGTGTGTGTGTGTGTGTGTGTACTCGCCTAATTGTAGTTGCAGGGGTCGAGACTCGGCTCCTGTCCCCCGCCTCTTCACTGACCGCTGCTAGGTCCTCCCTGTGTGTGTATTCATGATCTCAAGTTTATGTAGGGAGTCATTCAGTATAATGGTATTGAGGCCTCTCCAAGCGGACCAACTGTCCCTGAACAGCGTGAACAATCTCTCCTGGGACAGTAACACAGAACACTGCCTCGGCGGTGATTGTGAGCATGACAGAGAAAACGAGAACTCTCCTTGTGTATGTCAGACCTCAGCATGCCTTGGCTTTCTATCAACATTCAAACAGTAGGCAGTTTCTCCCTCAGCCTTAACTGTTCAGGAGCTGAAAACTTAAGGCTTGAGGGACTGACCACCTCAAAACTACTACGAACTTGGGGAAATAACATTACCTTTATATCACCACTGCTTCTGCTGTCCCCATATTTATTTAAATTTTAGTGTTCAACAGAAAGGTAATTACCTCTGTATCCTAGTAGTAGTTGTATGACTCGTACGGGTTTAGCACTTTTTATAATATAATGTATTCAAGGAGGTATAGGATGTTTCAGATATGTAAATGTGTGTCATGTAATAGAGGTAAGTAACGCTGTGTCTTGCTCTTCGTTAAGGACGTTATTACGTGAAGGACGGTTATACTTTCCACTCTTACGGCATTGTCCTCTTGTTCATTCGGTAGGGAAAATTAACCAGAATTCTTGGTTATAATTATGAAGTTTTAGTAGTTGATTGAAAAAATATTTGTATATAAATTACTCAATTATTTCTTTATATACTTCTTACAAGTGCCACCCTATTAAATTAGATATATTTAGCTTTGAAAGAGATTGTGTATAATCTGTGTTGGGTGGTAATTATAGCCTGGGTGACCCCGTGGTAGTGGGAGGGGGAAGGGGGTGTCAAGTATAGCCTGGGTGACCACGTGGTAGTGGGAGGGGGAAGGGGGTTTCAAGTATAGCCTGGGTGACCACGTGGTAGTGGGAGGGGGAAGGGGGTTTCAAGTATAGCCTGGGTGACCACGTGGTAGTGGGAGGGGGAAAGGGGTTTCAAGTATAGCCTGGGTGACCCCGTGGTAGTGGGAGGGGGAAGGGGGTTTCAAGTATAGCCTGGGTGACCCGTGGTAGTGGGAGGGGGAAGGGGTTTCAAGTATAGCCTGGGTGACCCCGTGGTAGTGGGAGGGGGAAGGGGGTTTCAAGTATAGCCTGGGTGACCCTGTGGTAGTGGGAGGGGAAGGGGTTTCAAGTATAGCCTGGGTGACCCGTGGTAGTGGGAGGGGAAGGGGGTTTCAAGTATAGCCTGGGTGACCCCGTGGTAGTGGGAGGGGGAAGGGGGTTTCAAGTATAGCCTGGGTGACCACGTGGTAGTGGGAGGGGGAAGGGGGTGTCAAGTATAGCCTGGGTGACCACGTGGTAGTGGGAAGGGGAAGGGGGTGTCAAGTATAGCCTGGGTGACCACGTGGTAGTGGGAAGGGGAAGGGGGTGTCAAGTATAGCCTGGGTGACCACGTGGTAGTGGGAAGGGAAGGGGGTGTCAAGTATAGCCTGGGTGACCACGTGGTAGTGGGAAGGGGAAGGGGGTGTCAAGTATAGCCTGGGTGACCACGTGGTAGTGGGAAGGGGAAGGGGGTGTCAAGTATAGCCTAGGTGACCACGTGGTAGTGGGAAGGGGAAGGGGGTGTCAAGTATAGCCTGGGTGACCACGTGGTAGTGGGAAGGGGAAGGGGGTGTCAAGTATAGCCTGGGTGACCACGTGGTAGTGGGAAGGGGAAGGGGGTGTCAAGTATAGCCTGGGTGACCACGTGGTAGTGGGAAGGGGAAGGGGGTGTCAAGTATAGCCTGGGTGACCACGTGGTAGTGGGAAGGGGAAGGGGTGTCAAGTATAGCCTGGGTGACCACGTGGTAGTGGGAGGGGGAAGGGGGTGTCAAGTATAGCCTGGGTGACCACGTGGTAGTGGGAAGGGGAAGGGGGTGTCAAGTATAGCCAGGGTGACCACGTGGTAGTGGGAAGGGGAAGGGGGTGTCAAGTATAGCCTGGGTGACCACGTGGTAGTGGGAAGGGGAGGGGGTGTCAAGTATAGCCTGGGTGACCACGTGGTAGTGGGAGGGGGAGGGGGTGTCAAGTATAGCCTGGGTGACCACGTGGTAGTGGGAAGGGGAAGGGTGGTGTCAAGTATAGCCTGGGTGACCACGTGGTAGTGGGAGGGGAAGGGGGTGTCAAGTATAGCCTGGGTGACCACGTGGTAGTGGGAAGGGGAAGGGGGTGTCAAGTATAGCCTGGGTGACCACGTGGTAGTGGGAAGGGGAAGGGGGTGTCAAGTATAGCCTGGGTGACCACGTGGTAGTGGGAGGGGGAAGGGGGTGTCAAGTATAGCCTGGGTGACCACGTGGTAGTGGGAAGGGGAAGGGGGTGTCAAGTATAGCCTGGGTGACCACGTGGTAGTGGGAGGGGGAAGGGGGTGTCAAGTATAGCCTGGGTGACCACGTGGTAGTGGGAAGGGGAAGGGGTGTCAAGTATAGCCTGGGTGACCACGTGGTAGTGGGAGGGGGAAGGGGGTGTCAAGTATAGCCTGGTGACCACGTGGTAGTGGGAGGGGGAAGGGGGTGTCAAGTATAGCCTGGGTGACCACGTGGTAGTGGGAAGGGGAAGGGGGTGTCAAGTATAGCCTGGGTGACCACGTGGTAGTGGGAAGGGGAAGGGGGTGTCAAGTATAGCCTGGGTGACCACGTGGTAGTGGGAAGGGGAAGGGGGTGTCAAGTATAGCCTGGGTGACCACGTGGTAGTGGAAGGGGAAGGGGGTGTCAAGTATAGCCTGGGTGACCACGTGGTAGTGGAAGGGAAGGGGGTGTCAAGTATAGCCTGGGTGACCACGTGGTAGTGGGAAGGGGGAAGGGGGTGTCAAGTATAGCCTGGGTGACCACGTGGTAGTGGGAGGGGGAAGGGGGTGTCAAGTATAGCCTGGGTGACCACGTGGTAATGGGAAGGGGAAGGGGGTGTCAAGTATAGCCTGGGTGACCACGTGGTAGTGGGAAGGGGAAGGGGGTGTCAAGTATAGCCTGGGTGACCACGTGGTAGTGGGAGGGGGAAGGGGGTGTCAAGTATAGCCTGGGTGACCACGTGGTAGTGGGAGGGGGAAGGGGGTGTCAGGTTTCATCACGAGTCTTGCAACTTGCAACTGATAGTGATGTGAGGAACTGCAATGTCAATGGTGGTGGTGGTAGGATTATTTTTTTTATAGATTGTGGCGATTACCTTGATGAGTGAGTACGTTGTGTGGTCAGTCATGACGGGTTCATATGTAGCTGCTTTGTGACCTAGCTTACCCCCCCCCATACCCCCTACCCCCCCCCCCCCCACACACACACCTACACACTACCTCCGACAGATCAGTTCACATGATGGGATCTCTCAAGAGAAACGTATCATGTTTGCCAAAACTTTGGAAGGTAGCCCAGGCATTTGTAGGGCTTTACTCTCGTGTCACGAAAAAAAAAAATTCCGAAAACTTTGGGAAACATAACCTAGGAACTTTTTAGGCACAAGGCAGCACATTTTGGATATATATATATATATATATATATATATATATATATATATATAATATATATATATATATATATATATAATATATATTATATATATATATATATATAATATATATATATATATTATATATATATATAATAGTGCCTCGTTCATCTTTGGTAAATTTTCAAGAGCACCGGAATATTTTGTGATTTTTTTTAATGTTCA